TTTTTTGAATCAAAGTTAAAATTTCATAAAGTCTTAATACAAAAATAAGTGTCCAAATTATACTCTTTTCCCCATTTAGGTGCCTAAACTTTTTTTCCGGTCAAATTGTGTATCTAAGTTGCAAAAGTTACTATTTTAAGTGCCTCGATCGTAATGATGTTAAAAAAATTTCGTTAAGTGACACGTTCCATGTTCAAATAATTTTAAATTTTTATTTTAAAAATCATAATTTCTTTGAAGTTATAAAAAAAACTCAAATCCCCAAAATCAACCCTAAAATCCCTAACCCTAACCTTATCATCTCCATTGTCGACCACCGTCACCTCTGCCACTCTTGGCATCTCCTTTGTAACTCCCAAATCCAACGGATTCGAGTGTCGCACGGAATCAACGAAGTGACTAACCCTTTTTTTATTAAAATCATATTCACTTTTAAAATATTTACGCAATGTATAAAACCATAACAATTTACAAAAGCGGAGCTCCAATTTAAAAACTTGATAAACAAAATAAATAATTAAAATATTACAAGTCGACTCATTTCAAACCATGACCTCTACAAACCCACTAAACTGTCAACATTGTACTCTGGTACTCTGATGATACCGTTGTCCCATCGCACTCCAAGAAACCTGAAACCTGTGAACGAAAACACATTTTGAATGATGAGCTCGCAAGCCTCATGCCACACAATACCTCTACTATACTACGTGCATTCATAACGTAAAGAATGCAAGCAAGTACAGTCAGATAAGTAGTACTACAACGTTATCAAACTACTAAACCATCTATTCAAGTTACATCACTATTACAATGGTCTGAGTCTCATGTTTCCCTTAGTCTAATGCTAAGGGCCTTGCCATGAGTATACATTTACTGGTTTCTAACCACAACGTCATACAACATACATCATCATACATAACACACAATCAAAGGTATGCATCATGGTATAGTCGGAGGATCACACAACATCTCGGGAATCACACCCTATATCCTACCTAAGGTACCCTAGATAAGACTCGAGTTACATAACATCATAATCTTCATCTAGAAAGGACCTCATTGCTTGTACCTTGGACACCTTCGGGGTTACATAGCATCGAAGCCTACATCCTTCTAATCTACTCCTCAGAAGTACTTGGGATACCTCCGAGGTCACACAACATCAGAGCCTACGCCTAGCTAGCATTTTAAGTGTCTTGGCACTGACTTGGATATATCTAGATATTTCTAACAAACTAGATGATCGTCGTACACACATAAATATACAAGGGTACCCATAGGCTAAACGCCTCAATATGTCACACAAGGGCAGTTAAGGTAGCTCGACTACTCATTAACATAGTTATCACAATCGGGTGAGGATATCCCCTTACTTGCCACTATCTCGCTCGCTATCTCATCTAAAAGGTTATGCAAAATTTTATTAGTCTTTTAGTATTTTATACCTTTAAGGAGGTTAATACTCATCTTTATGCACCTAGTATATTATTACTAGTCTAACACCCGACTTGGGTTGGCTAATCGATATCAACTCTCTAGTCACTCTCATCATATTTTTCCTCAATTCACCCTTAAATTAGATGGACGAATTGTATACGATAGTCATATAAAACTATCTTGGGTGTCCTGGTTGTTTCTCGATTATAAAGCAAATTTATAAGTCGTATAGAATCTTACTTCATAAGGTTCTTATGCTTAACACATAAGTATTCAAGGTTTTCACTTGTAAGTTTTTATTATTAGGGTTTTGGTAGTCCTTAACCTTTTTCTGATTCCTTAAACCAAAAATATGCTTCTTGCCTAATTCAATCTGATGGTACCGATACTAAGCCTCTTAATATCGATGTTGACCTTTCAGTATCGATACTCACCCTTGGTACTGGTACCAATTTTGGCTAATAGAATTTGAACTTAGCGATGGTATTGATACCATACCCTCGATATCGATACTCGAAGAACAGGGTACCAATACCTACCTAGCCCAAAAACTCTAATATTAATTATTTTGAAATTTCTTACATATTATTCATTAACAAGCTCTTATTAAAGAGCTAAACATGTCATATCATTAGTATCGCATTTTTTATCTCGTCAGTATCAATCACAACATTTCTATATTCCTCCCTCGAATCTCAATTTATTACGTAGTCATTTAGTAACTCAACTCTTACTAGTGTAGTTTATTTCATCCACTTAGGCCCACAATGACAGTTTAATAATTTTAGCCCTTAAGGGCATTATAGTAATTCACTATACTCTCAATTATATTAGATGTTTAAGACTTATGGAAAATGTAATCAATTAATCATCAGAGTCTTAGCATCTTTTATGTGTGTTTATAGGCTTTTAATATCAATTATTATGGCTCAAGTGTGTTTTGGTCATTTTATGCATTCGAGAGTATTTTAGGCTTCCTCCCATGTTTAACTAGTAATCAATTAATCAAACGTACTTTTCAGATCCTTATAAGGCATTATTCACAACTAGGGGCAATTTGTTAATTCATCCTATTAAGGGTATTATAGTAATTTCTCACGTTATCAAGTTATATCCTCGATCTCTAACATTATTAAATTCCCCACTCTTGGATTTATTCAGCATCTCGAAGTCCATAACCAATCATTAAAGATGACATCGATACCTTTATATAGGTATTGAAACATATTCTAGGGTATTAGTACTCTTCTTGAGTATTTGTATTGAAACAGCCCTAAGAGTCCTCTAAAATACCCTTAGTATCGATACCATGCATACATGTAGAATCGATATTCCCTTGAGTATCGGTACCAAAAATGGCTTTAAAATGACCCAAAAATCACCCTTTGTATTATTCAAAGGATGAGTATCGATACTCCCCTCTAGAGTATCGATACTCCCTTTATAAAAATCCTAATTTCACTTAGAATATGAACATTATCGATACCAATTCATCCAGTATCGATATTGGTGCCTAGAAAGACACTATTTTGCTCAGGAAACACCCCCAAACTCACCCTAAACCCTTGTTTTAAGGTCTAAGTTAATTATTAAATCTTATGAAAGTCATTAGGGTCATTATACTTCATTTTTACACTAACTTAACACCAAAAATATCCATTTCAAAAAATCGAGCACCCTAACCCCTACATGATCTTCCACCCATACAAGCAAAAAAAACTCATGTAGATGACATACAAGTAGTAAGGAAGAGTTATAATGTGTTAACTCAACTCCTAACAACCCAAAACATCTATAGCTTGCCCAAGGATCAACCTTTCCTTGACCTAGCTCAATAGCGGTTCTTGCACCACTCTTCCACCACTCAAAAGCCACCAAACGATTTCAAAATGAAAACAATGAGTAGTAGTTGTTAAACAACAACTAAATCAAATGAAAAACAAATGCAAATCAAGGGATGGGACCTTTGGAGCTCAAACCCTTCCAAAACTTCATGAAAGCTCAAGAACACCATTTATGAAGATGGTGAGCTTTTCATGAAGCTCAAGAACTCTAAATTAAGAATCTTACCTCTAGATTTTCGGATTGAAGAAAGAGATAAAGAAAGGTGAAGCCTTTTTCTTGTTCTTGCTTAAGAGAGTATGAAGAAGAATAAGACCAAATAGAGACAACGATGGAAGGGGAAAAATGTATAAATGAAAAGGAAAAGCCTTTCTATTCTTTTAGCCTAAAATGGACGTCCATGTCACCCAAAAATCCTTTCAAATCTGTCATGTTTCTCTTAAATGGTAGAATTACCATCTATATCCTCATTTTTTCTAAGCTTAAAAATCCCCTTTTTATCTTCTACAATGTTAATTTATTACCCAATTAAACTTAATTCGAAACTAATTGACTTCCATGCTATAATAAATCTATCAAATAAATTCTTGGGTCAATACGAAGCTACTAGACCAGTATTTGGGGCGTTACATCCCTTGTCAACCATCGTCACCCTTACTATCATGCGTGTCGTCGAATTGTATGAGTGTTATGATTTTAGGGTTTTAAGTTAGTCGTTTGGGGGTTATAGTTCATTTTCTTCATTGGGGATGTCTAATTTCTGAGTTTCGAGTCGTCAAGTAGAGGTTCTAGTGGAAGTTCAGTCGATGAAAACGACGATAAAACGATCAACATGAGTAAGTGATTGGAATTAGAGTTTTCAAAGTTATCGATTTTTTAAGGTTTGAGAAACTTATGGGTTTTTTCTTAATATATATATATATATATATATATATATATATATATATAATTTTAATTTTAAATAATTTTTTAAAATTATATAAATGTGACATGTGTCACTTAAAGGAAATTTTTAACAACAATTACAACTGAGACACTTAAAATGGTAACATTTATAACGTTAACTACTTGAATTAACCGAAAAATAATTTAGACACCTAAATAGAAAAAAGTATAATTTATACACTTATTTTTATATTAATCCTTTTAGAAATAAAAACTACATACACTCAAATAGGAAAAAAATACTAAGTTAAATCCATTGTTTAACCTAAACCAAATTATTTTTAGGTAAATAATGTAATAAATCACTCATCTATTTTTGTAATTTTGTTTTAGTTACTCAACTTTTGTTACATTATCACTAAACTTTTTGTTTTTGATCCGTTTTGATCACTCATTGTTAAAAAATAAACAAAACTGTTAATATGATAATTTTTTCAAAGATGATGTGACATTATTTTATGATGACTCGTTGATATTGATGTTAATTTTTTAAGACAAATGATCAAAACAAAAAAAAACATAAATTTAGTGATGATTTAAAAACAAAATAGTTAAGTGACCAAAATAGAACCATAGAATAGTTAGGTGACTAAATATGTAATTTACCCATTATTTCTTTATCATTAAAATTTAAGAGAAACGGGACATATGTACCAAAATTTTGAATTTGGCCTTAATGTCAATCCTTGCCACTAGGATTGTGGCTTTATTAACAATGTAAAATAAAAGCAGCAGAGATATCATATGTTATTTGGTATTTACTTTTGTACCCCCAATGAATCTACAGCCATAACTATGAACTAGCAAAGGGCAAAACCTAATGGCTTTTATGTCAAAATTTCCTTTACTCTCTTAAATTCTTTCCATTTAACATCAAAATGTACTTACAAGGCCTATGCCAAGCTCTTCCGCAAGCTCATCCCATACTGGCAGCAGTGTCAACAAAACAAGGAAAATAGCAACACCAACCGCGGTTTTCCTCCATGTTCCAACTTCGGTTACGTCATTTAAGCAGGGTTTTTCGGGAGTCCTCTGAGCATTTTTAGTTAAAAATAGGATAATAAGGAAGATGATTGTTAATTCTGCTTCAATTTCTTATACTAAAAACTTTCGATTGACATACCTGACATATCAGCACATACAGGCCCCAAGGAAGCGATAAAGGTCCTCCGATCTGCAAATAGGATAAAAGAGATTAGCCAAATTGTTTGAAAGACTGGGAGAAATCATTTATAACGAACGATCCAGGATGACTAACTAGAAGGTGTATACCACTCCTAGTCCAAGCAGTGTGTATGTTGTCAGACCAAACCCAACCAGCGCCCCTTTTCCGAAAGCACCCTGAAAAAATGCAGCAAACGATCAAAGATCTTGCAACCGAGATAGCATGAAAGCTAAAGAATGGAATGGCTTGAAGCTACGTATCGGTAAGAAGGTACCTGCACGGCCCTTCCACCATCAAGACACCCCACAGGAAGCATATTAAATGCTGTCGTAGTTAAGCCACACCTGAAATGGCAGGTAACGTGAATGGTAAGTATACCGAAAAAATCCAGATTAAGATTTAAGGTAAGAAGATAATCCTTGAATTTAAACCTACCATCCTGCAATCACAAGCGGATGAATTGATACCGTTGCAGCATGCATTGCCCTGTACATTGAGAATGTCCGTTATATTCTTTGGAAAAAATTGATCTCAATGACCTCACATGTACATCTGTTAGATTCATATAAAAGGAAAAGTGGAGAACAAAATTATTGGATCTTTGGATTTCATCAGAGGGCATTCCCAAAGAAGTCGATAAGAAAAAGGACATACGCATAACCAAGGGTTGCTCTACTGATGAGTCCAAGAAGCAAAGAACCCTGAAACAGCATGCTAGGAACCTGCACCAAATCCCCAGCTACATCCGGATTTGATGAAAGCAACAAACCGACAATGAACATTGAAAAAGACAGTGCAGCACCAGCAAATGGGCCAGCAAGGGAAATGCCGACTTGTGTACTCCGGTCAGGAAGAATAGATTTGAACTGCAGGAAGTGAGAGTCAAGGAAAGCTTTTAAAGTATCGGTTAAAAAGCTAAAGTATTTCCATCGGGCATTCCCCATTATTTGTATCAACTATCAAGTCAAGTTAAGTCAAGATAAAAGGTATAGAGAGGTCAGGCAGAAAATAACTGAAGAAACGATTCCATCAAAGGAAACTTATGACAGTCAAAAATATAAAATATATGATGTGCAATCTCAGGAAACAAAGACAAGGTCATTTTGACCCCAAGGAGAAGAGGGAGGAGAGAGGCAGACAGAAAGAATGAAGCATATATTCAGAAAGAGATACTGAATCATCAAAAGATGGATGTCAAGACAATAAGCTTAAGAAACCATAATTACTACACATCTATCAGTAAAGATCATCTAAAACTAAATCGAATAAAAGGACAAGTTACAGCGCATGTAACAAAGGTTTTCAAGTTATTGAGAATGTTGGAATAACGAAGTTCCTGAGCAATTCTCAACATAATGCATACTGGCTTAAATATCCTGTTTATACAAGGCAACCACCAGATCTTTAAGAAAGGCACTTTGGACAAAAACATTAAAAATATAAACAGACATAGCATTCTACCTTGAGTACTCACCTGAGTAATTGCACCAAAGCTTCCAAGAGTGATGTTCGGAATGAAGAAAGGAATGCTTAGCTTTACTTTCTTTGGAAAAGCAGCCAGAAAATGCCCAAGTTCCTGCAGGCAACAAATTTCATATGTTAGCAAAGTCGAAAAAAAGCATATAAAGGTAAAAAATTGATCAAGTTCACTGATTTTACTCATAAGCAGATGATTTTTTTATAACTACATTAAGTAAAAAAAACTGCTCAAACTAAAAGGAAAAAAATGGATAGTAAAACATCAGAAAACCATCAAAAAGCATCTGCATACATGAAATAAAAGAACGCCCAAAACACCATATGCTAGGGGCAATGCTGAATCGACAAATGGGTATAGCAGTTCCATATCTGGTGGATCAACTGCATTTGGATCTGTAAAGTATTTTACAACTTCTGGAGGAAGTCTGTTTATCTGTAAGAGATTGCACATTATCAATATATTCAGGAACATAAAGATTGTGTGCGAGAAAACTGCAGAAAACGTAACTCCCATCTTTCTACAGATAAATGCAGAAGTCTCAAAGTGTTTCTACAAAATTGGAATACCTGAGATGCAATACCTAACTCTACACTGGAACCTATAGTCAGGAAGAACAACAAAATAGCAATCACGTATTGCCAAAGTGTAGTTGGTCCAGGTTCTGACACTTCTTTCCTCAACAACCCAAAACTCACACGTGGCCCACCACGCGGATCTGGTGCTTCAGAATCAGGCTCCTCAACCATGAAAAGATTGTATTTATCACCCATGATCTCAGCCAGTTGAGTCTGGAGTTTTGCAAAAACATCCTCTCTCTTTCCTCTTAGATTTCCTAGAAAAAGGATGCCCTCACCGAGATCTCCAAATGGCTCTTCCTTAGTCACCCAAAATGTTGAATAGCCAAAAAGCTTGTCCTTAATTAGCTTTACATCAGCAGGATCAACTTTCTCAGGTCCAAGAAGCTCCATCAATTTAAAAGAATCAATTTGGAAATCAGTGTAGACTGATCCAAGAGGAGCTATATTCGGTGGCTGAAGAAAGAAAACATCAATAGATTATAATTCCTTAAATCATTCCACTTTTCTCACAAATTTTAACTCTCTTCATTCGTCTCCTTAGTATTTAGCATTTACAAGATTTAGTGGTATTTTATATAAAGCTATGTTATCTGGGCTCCGGTGAGTATCAGATACAAGTATGTTTAGGATGCTTGGCATGTTCAATTTCTTCTAAGTTCTTCAATGTGTTTAGAAGGTGCTTGGACACAAGATTCGAGTAACATAGATGAAAAAGATAGGCTTCAGTTGGTTGTTAAAAGTTGCTAAAAAGCAAAACCATAATAGATTATAAATGAATAGTTATGAAAATACAGTTCTATATAGAAGTAAATTTGGCATTTTTTGTGGAATGTACTATAATAAAAAAGTTGTTATTTGCTCTTATATTCAAAACGCAAGGAAAGCTTAACTACAAAACTTAACCTAAAATTTTCTCATAAACATTTATTCTTCTTCTTCTTCTTCTTCTTCTTCTTCTTTTTCATTCATTCTAACAAATTTCTATTAAAGTGCCAACTAAATTTAGAGAATAAAACAAATAAGAAAAGTAAACAAAAAGAATATCAAAACGATGTACCCTAGAGGGAACAGATGGAGGCAGGTCACTGCTGGTTCGCTTCTCCTGCACCGACTTTTCTTCAGGCGGAGAGGCCGTCGTGACGGCGGATTCCGTGGATGAAGCAGTATTACTACTATCCTCCTTAATGTCTCCATCATTTTGGGAGTAATCGCCGTCATTGCTATTATTATTATTGCTGCCACTAAAACACCTAATTCTGAGAAACTTTTCGCGATAAATATCCTTGGAAAATGCTCCTCTACATAAATAACACAAGTTCCTCTTGGATTTTCTGGACTGGAAGACTTGAACGCCAACTCTTTCGCGGAAAATTGGACTGAAATTGAACCTGAGATTCACAGCGCTAAAACTAAAGCTCGTGAGAGTTCCCATCCAAACGATAAACCTCCAATCAACTCTTCCTTAAAGAGTTTGAAAAATGGAAAGGAAAGGTCCTCAATTATTTATTTCTTTTTTTCTGGGTTCTGAAACAGAGAAAGAGGGAGCTGAAAATTTATCCGCTTCGTTGTGGGATATTCAAAACAAATATCTATTGTGCCTTTCCTTTTATTTGGATTTTTTTAATTAAAATAATAAAAAGATTATACTTCTATTTCATTCAAATAAATAAGATTAAATGAGTGCATGGGTCGGGTTTCGGCCAACCCGACCCGATCCAACCGAAAAGTTTGACATCATTCGTTTGATCCGAAAAATATATACCCTTCACCCTATTTGAATCTGACTCAATTTTTTGAGATAAAATTCGAATCTAATCTGATCAGACTCTAAATAATAAAAAATATTATTTTTATTTAATAAAAAAAGTGATTTAATTGAAAAAAATAATAGATAGAAATGTATTATTGTAATTATTCCTAAACATATAAGGTAAAATTATATTTTTTTGAGGTTAGATCAAATATTTTTTACCCTAAATTCGAATCCGAATTAAACCTGATTTTTTTTTAAAAAAAATCTTACCTGATCGAATCGAATTAAGTCGAAACCCTTCAAATTTGAATTTCATGCCCATCCAGTAAGAAATATTATTGTTAAAAAATGTGAGTTGAGGTACTTTTATTATTAGTCTCTCTTATTAAATTTTTAAAGAGACTTGATGCTTTTTAGTGGATGTCTTTCCATATTTTTTACTGTATGATTTAAATTTTTTAATATTATATTGATTTAGAATTATTGAAAAAATGAAAATAAACGATTGAAATTGTTTTTTATTGACCTATTCTTATTCAATTTAGATAATAAAAAAATGATTTAAGTCGTTTTATTTTTATTTATCTTATTATTATACATTAATGTAACACTTTATAATTTTACATTATGTAATGGAATCCTACCTCATTTTAATTATTTAAATTTATTAATATTTTATTAAATTAATCTCTTCGTGTATCGTTATTATGTTTATAATTTTGAGTTATACATGATTAAAAAAATTATCATTTCGAAGGTGATTTTATTCAAAATGTTATGAATCGTACAATACTTACGAACTGAGAGGGAATACATCCTCACCATTTCAATTAAAAAAACATTATTGTTGCGATAAATTATTTCGTACGATGTGATGATTAAGAAGCCATGAAATTATAATTTAAAAAAAAAGTATTTCTTTTTGATAATATATTTTTCGTAAACCAAAGGTCGATTAAAGTTCCTCGTATATGAGAATAGTTATTTCATGTATCATTGTCTTTATATTATCCATGATTTTCAATCATTAAAAATAATCAATATCAATCTATTCAAAATTAATTAATAGGAAGATAATTTTTCCTAAATAAATTATAGTAAGGAGAAAATTTGTCAAAAATTCGAATTTCATGTAAGTTGATTGTTGTATTCTAAGGGTGGCAGTACAATCTATAAGCTCCTGGTTTCCATTGCAAAGGCGACACGGTGTGGAGGTTCAAAAGGAGAGCCCGGAGATCCTTCGCTGCTCTGGGAATCGACCTTCCATGCATCTTGAACTTGAGCTGCAAATTGCAAGTTCCATAGTACATCATCAACAGAAGGCCTCTCTGCAGGGTTCTTCACTAGACATCTTACACAAATCTCCATCATTGTCTTCAATGACTGATCCGAACAAGACGTCCGAACTGCCGGATCCGCTACAAGTCTTCTCATTACATCATCGGTTGCCGTGATTGCCTCCAACTGCACAGGTTTGAAATATAGTGAATTAATGGTTTGTATACGTTGAGTTCCATTGGATGTTCCAAGTATTGCCTGTTTTTTAAGAATTTGCACTTGTTTCCTGGATTTTGATGGCCTCCCAAGAATCATTTCGAGTAAAATAACTCCGAAATCATAAACATCAGACTCATCATCATACCTTTCCCTGTCATGAAACAACAGCAAAGGGAAACAATTTTAATTAAACATCATAATTTAGAAGCTCTTTTATTGACACTGACTTAATTATAAACCTTGTACTAGTACTTGAATCTTTGTGTGGAGCAGAAGTTCCACGGCCCACCTGCAAGATCGAGTAGCAGTAAATACGATCACACACCGGCGAATTTGAAGAAAGAAGTCTTTCGAGAATGAAATTTTTATTCGGTGTCCATACCTTGTCTTTGGTCTCTGCTAATAAGGGCAGGTTGTAACTGCTAATCTTTGAAACAAGGTTCTGGTCCATCAAAATATCAGTTATTTTCAGATGATTACACACCAGGCACAATCCCAGTATGCAAAAATTGGATGCCCTTTGCTATCCCGATTGCAGCCGATATGCGCTGTGCCCATGTAAGTGAGTGTTTGCCATTGCCTCCTGCAAACCATAATGTCAGACACATAGATATGGTAAAATAAACATTATTTGAAGGGCCCTTCAAGGGTCATATACGGAAAAAACAAAAGAGTCGAGTTCTACGGGGAAGAAGGGTTAAATAGTATGGCCTTAAATCTCAGTACAGAAAATTTTATCACAGAGATTAAGGATTACCAGATATCCAGCTCCTGAGAGAGCCATTTGGTACATATTCAAAGATCAGAAAAATTCTGCTGACACTTGAATCATCCAAGTAACATTCAAAGCAATGGCCAAGAGCACTGACTAAATGTCGATATCTCAATTTCGAAATAAGCTCTACATGATGCATAAAGCTTTGTGTACTATGGCTTTTCTTCATTTTCAGGCATCTAATGGCCACAAATGTTCCATCTTTCAGCCTACCTCTATACATCTGAAATCATAAAAGTCAATGTGTTGGAAGATTTACCAAGGAAATTAATTTTCCCATATTTTTGTTCAAGATAATCGAAAAAACAATATTCAGTTGCAAAATTGTTGAAGCACAAGCTCACTTCTTCCATATGAATCAGATTCAGTTTTATCAATGATAAGGCTATGGGTTTCGAACTCCGATCACCGACCAATACAAAACTTCAATACCATATCGGAGAATCATTGAAATTTTAATTAAGCTCTTGTTATGATAACTATATCAGATACATGTCCCTGAGAACCTTCACCCATGAAAGCGGTTGTGTCAAAGTTGTTTGTAGCAACCTCAAGTTCTTCTAATGAAAAGGTTCGATAAGCCGGTAGTCCGAGTGCTCCTGTATTCATCGTTTGCGACATATACCCTTCAAGTAGACAAAATTCATATAGTTCGAAATCTGGAGTCGTCATTAACTAGAGGAATAGAGATAGAATGAGATCTTACTTGCATCAGTATATAACTTCGATGAGTACACAGTTGATGCTTTCTCTGCAATCAATCTTGTAGTAGTTTTTTTTATGTCTTACCGGCATTTGACCTCCTAACAAACATGAAAACAAAACAGATAACTACTATTCCACCGATAATTCCTCCGGTTATGGCCATGGCAAGAGCTACTTTAGAAGTTTTGGACTTCTTTTGGTGAGGTAAGATTCCCACAGCTAAGGCTTCGTTGTAACAGAAGGAAAACGGATGTTGGTTTTCGTTTCCTGTAACGAGGCAATTTCAAGCATACAGGGAAACTCGGTTTTTAGAATTTGAGAGAGAGCTTGGCAAGTTTCCGGACAAAGGGTTTGATGATAAATCTGCAAATTCAAGCTCTGCATTGCAGGAAGTGTTTTCAAATAGCATCCCACTAAGCTTGTTGTCTGCAATATTCAAGTAAGTAATGGAAGGTAGGGATAACAATGATGGAGGAAATGGCCCAACAAATCTATTGAATGACAAGTCAAGCCATTCAAGTTGGTAAAATGAGCTCAATTCAGAAGGAATGCCGGATCGAAACCTGTTCTTTCCCAATACAAGGCGGACCAACTTGTTGCCAAGCCGAGGAAATCGAGGCCGAAAGAATTATCTTCTAGATCAAGCTTTTGAAGATTTGTCAAACTGCTAAGATCAGGAACTTCCCCAGAGAAATGGTTATGAGAAAGTGCAAGAATTCGAAGATTCACCAAACGGTTAAACAATTCGGGGAAGTGCCATTGAACAAATTCTTCCTCAAACTCAGAACAGTCAGAATGGGAAACGAACCGAGCCATTCAGGTAGCTGACTGGAGAACAAGTTATCATCAAGTATGAGTGTTTGAAGGCCAGTGACAGATGAAAGCTCATGAGGGATGGTCCCGTATAGAGAATTCGAACTCATGTAAAGTATCTCCAATGAAACTAGACGCGAAATTTACCAGGAAAGGGCCCCCCGTATACAAAGTGTCGTATCCGGTTTTTGCTCATGCAAGAAATTTTACTTGGTGGGAAAGATAATATGAATAAATGGTTTTTATTGAAATGTTTTGGGAGTCGTCATCGACCTTTTGGATGTAGGTCGAATACCTAAAAACATAAGTTAAAAGATAAACTGATATGCGTTTAACCAAAAAATCATTCTTTTTAATAATAAAAAGGATTTGTGGTCGGTTACGTTTGGGGAAGGATTAGCACCTCACAACGCCCAAAAATTGATTCATGTCAATTATAAATTGTTTCTAGTAGTAGAAGTTTAAGAATTCAAATGTAAATTTAATTTATGATTCTCTTATTGCAAATTTATTAAGATAATTTTAAGAAAATATAATAAAATATAAAAGTAAAGTAAATATTTATATATATATTTAAGTTATTATAAATATGATATTTATTCATTTAAAAATATCAGAAAATGACCTCTAGTTGTTTTAAGACAGCCCATTTCTTAATATTAAAAAAAATAATAATAATAAAATGTAATAAATATTCCTAAAAAATAATTTAAATAAAACTAAATTAAATATATATAATTTTTATAATATTTATTTATTTAAAATACCAGAATATGACATCTAGTTATATTAAGACTGCCCTTTCTTAATATTTAAAAATAAATAAATATGATTATTTAAACAAATATATATTTATATGACTAATGTGAAAATAATAATAAAACAATAATTAAAGTTACAATTTAAACATATCGAAAGTAATAATAAAAATAAAATAAAATTGCAATTAAATAATGATCAAAATAAAAGAAATTAAAATTGTAAAATCAAATTGTAAAATATATAAAAATTATCAAACTATTAGGGATTAAAATGTAAAATATATAAATTAATGGCCTAATTCAAATTATCATAAAATATAGATGCCTACAGTGTAATTTAGCCTTAATTAATTAATCGAGTTAAAATAAATATTAATTAAATGATAAGGGACTAAATCGAGTATTTATCCTATATATCAGCAGTGACTAAAATAAAATAAATTAAAATGTAAAGACAAAATTAAAAATGTAATAACAATTAATTAAGTGACTAAAATAAAAATTTATAAACTATAAGGGATTGAGCATATGGTTTGCCCAAGAAGGAAATTACATGGACGTCCCTCACCAAAACTACGTCGTTTTGGTGAGGGTATAAATACCCTTTATTAAGCCTGAAATCCTTCATTCTTCTCATTTTTCACTTTCTTCTCTCTCTCTAGAAGAGAGAAATTTTTTTTTCTCTCATCTCTCTCTTAAAGCCTCCGCCCGGAGGGAGCCTGGTAACTGGCCGGCACCTTGCTCTGGTGCCGGCACCGTCGTTGGCCACTGTAATTCGAGAATATAGTTCTGAATTTTCCTTTTTAAACCTAAGGTCGAATATAACATTCTCTCGTCTTAAAACCCTCTAGATTTCTCTAGATCTAAAAGAGACCGTAGGTATTACCTTTGGTTTTACAGCGATTCCGGCAGGCGGGGTAAGTTCTCTTCTCTATTCCTCTTGTTTTGGTCGTTTTGCTGGTTGTTTCTCGGTTTGGTGCTGCTGTGTTGTTTCCCTTCTTGCCTCCTCTGTTCCATTCGGTATCTCTCAGTTCATTTTCTTCTCTGCAGGGGATGGCCATTTATAGACCTCGTCGATATGGCTCTCGGACCAGTCCCAAGAGTGGATTTCGCTAAGTCATCAAACTATGTGGTGACTCACCATAGAGCTTCGACGTGGATGGCTTTGTGACGCTTCTAGAGTCTTCGGTGAGGCGGTGGCGTCGTGGCATTGTCGGAGTGGAGCACTTGGCAGTGGAGGCATCGGCAGTGGCGGTGGCAGCAGAGGTGGCGCCGCGTGGTCCCTAGGGTATCATAACCCTAGGGTTTATTCTGGATGCGTATGGGTTTCCTCTGTATCCGGTTTTGTTGGGCCAGCTCTGAACTTGGGTCGTCTATTGGGCTTCCAGATCTGAGCCTTGTAATTATTTATTATTAATAATAATAATATAATAAAAATAATAATACTTATAATAATAATAATAATGGAAAAATTAGTGTCTACAGCTGTCCCTTTTTTTTTCATTCTTGTGTTAACAAGAATAGAGTAAAGACGAAAAAGACAATAATTTTTTTCATTTGCCTTCTTTTGAGTAGGTTGGAAATGTTGAAAACATTCTGCCCAGAGGTCTTACGAATGGCCCTGAGGTCTTATCATCTTGCACTGTAGGTCTTATAGATGACCCGGAGGCTTTAAGATCAAGAAATCTTTGAAAATCAATTTCTTAAAATCTCATTTGAAAACATCCTGCTCTGGAGGTCTTATGGATGGTCCTGAGGTCTTATGGATGGTCCTGATGTCTTATCATCTTGCACTGTAGGTCTTACAGATGACCTGAAGGCTTTGAAAACATCAAAAAGCTCCCGAAGGCTTTTTGAAAACATCCTGCACTGTAGGTCTTATGGATGACCCGAAGGTTTTGAAAACATCATGCACTGTAGGTCTTACAGATGACCCGAAGGCTTTAAATATCAAAAAGCTCCTGGAGGCTTTTTGAAAACATCCTGCACTGTAGGTCTTACATATGACCCGAAGGCTTTGAAAACATCAAAACGCTCCCGAAGGCTTTTTGAAAACATCCTGCACTGTAGGTCTTATGGATGACCCGAAGGTTTTGAAAACAACATGCATTGTAGGTCTTACAGATGACCCGAAGGCCTTGAAAATATCAAAAAGCTCTCGAAGGATTTTTGAAAACATCATGCACTGTAGGTCTTATGGATGACCCGAAGGTATTGAAAACATCATGCATTGTAGGTCTTACAGATGACCTAAAGGCTTTAAATATCAAAAAGCTCCTGAAGGCTTTTTGAAAACATCCTGCACTGTAGGTCTTATGGATGACCCGAAGGTTTTGAAAACATCATGCACTGTAGGTCTTACAGATGACCCGAAGGTTTTGAAAATATCAAAAAGCTCCCGAAGGCTTTTTGAAAACATCCTGCACTATAGGTCTTATGGATGACCCGAATGTTTTGAAAACATCATGCACTGTAGGTCTTACAAATGTGGGAAATAGTTTACTAAGTAAGAAACTTTAGAAATCGTTTTCTTACTATTCAACAATTTCATTTTCAGAAAAGATTAAATGAGAAACTTTGGAAATCATTTTCTCATTTTTCAAAATAACTTGTTGATTGGGTAACATGCCCCATTTTAAAATAATGCTTCATTTGTGGATTGCATCCATCTATTCTTCAGATGTTTGTGTGATTCCTGCATTTGAGGTTTTGAATTCTCTCATTTTTCAAAATAACTTGTGGCTTTATTCGTGCCCCAAATCTGTTCATCTTGAATGCTCTCATTCTGGTGTCACTAAACAACAGTGTGGTCAAGTAATTTGAGGAATTCTCTTCATGTTGTCACAAACTTAAGAAGTGATCAATCATTCTGACGGAAATGTATGAGATATGTGCCTCTTCTGAATGAGGTGTCCATTTTTTGGATCTGTAGGTATTTAGTCGGACAGAGTGGTATAAATCGTTTGGTAATTCATTCCAGGTCGACACAATGACTTATCATCTTTCGGTCTTAAGAGACATGTTCCCCAGGGGTATCAATGTCCTATCTTTTTTCTCTGGGATTGGTGGTATAGAGATTGCCCTTTATCAGCTCAACATATATTTGAAAGCAGATGTGCAAGATCAGAATGATGATCGGTTGGAGCAATTGATGAGTAGATTTGATTTATTCGACTTTGTTGTCGGTGGCATCCCGTGTAACAACCTTATTGGAAGAAATAAACATCATTGGGATGAACTATAACATTTTTGTTGGTGTCTTTTCTTGCAATGGCTGCTACAACGACTGTCTCTTCTGCTGCTCCAAGATACGCACTGCCATATGCCACTCTTCCCAAACCATGAAAAGGTTTGGTTGATAGAAAAACTGGTTATCTCTACTTTTGGAATCATGTAATCAATGTTACCCAATACGAAAGGTCTATAAGTGTAGAATCTGTTCCAATGTCTTATTATGTGCCATAAGTTCTCAAGTTCAAGTTCATCAATCTTCTGAAGGACATAATGGATATAATCCTGGTAAAAATAATGATCGGCATGGAAGAAGTAGCAATGATGTATCAAGACTTGAGCCAGCATCACGGTATAACCAGAGTGCAGGTGGTGGACTTGTTCATTCCCATAATACACCTAATGAGACTTATAGCTCTGTGATTGGATTATCTGCTAGGGGACATGGATTGATGGCTGAGGGAAATAATTTGTCTGGTAATGCTTATCGCCATCAGCATGAGATAAATGTCCCTTTTAAATAGGGTAATATATCTTGATGAATTGCTAATAATGTCACAGGAGATCTTTACAAGTTTAATTCTCCAGACTTTCTGGCTTCTTGGACCACTTGCTTTCAAGAAAGTGAAATGTTTCATCCTTCTGGCCTCGCTCATTCTTTTTCTTCAATAGAGGTAGAATAGGCAATAATTTGCTTCAAGGACCTTCCTCATTTGAGACTGTCCTATTTGAAAATGTTTTTTCTCATTTATTTATCAAAGAATGAAAGAATTTTGTAAAGTGTTGCCTATCACAAATTCACAATAGAATCAAATCATAAGCATGAATTCAAAGAATATCAAAAGAATCAACAACTCTTTAATGTTTGAGAATTATAAATTTTTGACAAATATCAAAATTTGGGTTGGTTTCAGGATGGCTTTCCTAATTTCTATGGTTACATCTATTTAAGATGTCACTCTTCTCTCGCTTTTTGTGAACATTATCACATACTTCACTTTCTTTGACTTG